CCAGCAACATACAGTACCATTGTTATAAACAGTCATTTAGACTTGGGACGTGCCCAGTATTCGTTCACTCTCGAATGGAGAGAGAGAGAGAACGCCCCAGAAGCAGCCGCGTGGTGAGCCGGTGGCCACAATTGCCCAAGCTCTGCGGTCCTCAATACACACATTGTCCTGCGGAGGGAGCTGGTAGGCACGTTGGGTTGCTCGGTCAATGGCCTGCAGGGTCAACGGCGGCGTGGTGTATTCCGCAAATATGGCCGACTGTGAGGGCGGGCACAAGCCGGCGTGAGTAGGTTACACGTTGAGTTTTATAAGGGCACCACGGGGTGACCAGCCCCTCCCCACCCAGCCCCACTCCTCACACCCCCCACCCAGCCCCACCCTCCCCACCCAGCCCATCCCCACCCTCCCCGCCCAGCCCCTCCCCACCCTCCCCACCCAGCCCCACCCTCCCCACCCAGCCTCTCCCCCCACCCTCCCCTCCCCACCCAGCCCCTCCCCACCCAGCCCCTCCCTGCACGACGGACACAATAATTCCATGTGGGCTGGTGTAACCAGGAGGTTCCTGCCAGTATTACGGTATCACCTGCCACCGAATGAGTATGTACGTGACATTTTAATCGGCGAGAGTTAACACACTTCTTGAATAGCAAGGTGTCTACGAGCGATGGAGAAAATAGAGCATGGGAGGGAATTCCGGAATTGAAGAGTGCGGGTGAAAAGGGCAGAATGAGAGGTATGGTGATTGAACACAGTGTGAATGAGACGAGACAGTCGATGTGGCAGACCGAGTGCTCAACATGGGTGGAGGAATCAGCGAATTAAATCCGTGCGGGTTATTTTACCGGACGTCAGAAAGTGTGCGGTGGTTCAAAGTCTCGCTCTGTTTTTAACCAGTTTATTTATTAATGCCCCCCCGCCCCCATTTTTGTTTGTTTAAATCGGTATAAAATGCACAAAATGTTGCAAACTAAGTGTTGTTTTAATTTTCGACAGATGTTGGGAAGCTCGTTCATACCGAGTGGTGAATTAAGAGAGGAATATGCTTGACGCCGTCGCTCTGCTGACTTGGACCCCCCCCGTGATAGAGTACACATGTGTGATAGAGCACACATGCTGTGATAGAGCACACATGCGTGATAGAGCACACATGCGTGATAGAGCACACATGCGTGATAGAGCACACATGTGTGATAGAGCACACATGCGTGATAGAGTACACACGCGTGATAGAGCACACACGCGTGATAGAGCACACACGCGTGATAGAGCACACACGCGTGATAGAGCACACATGCGTGATAGAGCACACGTGTGAGAGAGCACACATGCGTGAGAGAGCACACATGCGTGATAGAGCACACATGCGTGATAGAGCACACATGCGTGACAGAGCACACATGCGTGACAGAGCACACATGCGTGACAGAGCACACATGCGTGATAGAGCACACAGGCGGCTGATGTTCAATGGATGTGCAGTGCTCGGCCGTGGGGCGGAGGACGTGGTGTGCGGAGTGGTGTCTAGAGTTGGGTGGTGTGCGGTGTGGTGTCTAGAGTGGGGTGGTGTGCGGTGTGGTGTCTAGAGTGGGGTGGTGTGCGGTGTGGTGTCTAGAGTGTGGTGGTGTGCGGTGTGGTGTCTAGAGTGGGGTGGTGTGCGGTGTGGTGTCTAGAGTTGGGTGGTGTGCGGTGTGGTGTCAAGGGTGTGGTGGTGTGCGGTGTGGTGTCTAGAGTTGGGTGGTGTGCGGTGTGGTGTCTAGAGTGGGGTGGTGTGCGGTGTGGTGTCTAGAGTGGGGTGGTGTGCGGTGTGGTGTCTAGAGTGGGGTGGTGTGCGGTGTGGTGCGATGTTGAGGGTGGGGACGTGTGCGGTGCGGTGTGGCCTCGATAGTGGGTGGTGTGCAGTGTGGTGTCTACAGTGGGGTGGTGTGCCATGAGGTGTGATGTCGAGGGTGGGGTGGTCTAGAGATCGTGGTTTAGTGCTCAGACCACGACGTAGTGTGGAGAGCGTGGTGGAGTGAGAGAGTGGTGGAGTGAGATGGTGGTGGTGTGAGAGCGTGGTGGAGTGAGATGGTGGTGGTGTGAGAGCGTGGTGGTGTGAGAGGGTGGTGGTGTGAGAGGGTGGTGGAGTGAGATGGTGGTTGGCGTGAGAGCGTGGTGGTGTGAGAGAGTGGTGGAGTGAGATGGTGGTGGTGTGAGAGCGTGGTGGAGTGAGAGCGTGGTGGTGTGAGAGAGTGGTTGAGTGAGATGGTGGTGGTGTGAGAGCGTGGTGGTGTGAGAGGGTGGTGGTGTGAGAGGGTGGTGGAGTGAGATGGTGGTGGTGGTGTGAGAGCGTGGTGGTGTGAGAGAGTGGTGGAGTGAGATGGTGGTGGTGTGAGAGCGTGGTGGTGTGAGAGCGTGGTGGTGTGAGAGGGTGGTGGTGTGAGAGGGTGGTGGTGTGAGAGGGTGGTGGAGTGAGAGGGTGGTGGTGTGAGAGGGTGGTGGAGTGAGAGGATGGTGGTGTGAGAGGGTGGTGGTGTGAGAGCGTGGTGGAGAGAGAGGGTGGTGGTGTGAGAGGGTGGTGGTGTGAGAGGGTGGTGGTGTGAGAGGGTGGTGGAGTGAGAGGGTGGTGGTGTGAGAGGGTGGTGGAGTGAGAGCGTGGTGGTGTGAGAGGGTGGTGGTGTGAGAGGGTGGTGGTGTGAGAGCGTGGTGGTGTGAGAGGGTGGTGGTGTGAGAGCGTTGTGGAGTGAGAGGGTGGTGGTGTGAGAGCGTGGTGGAGTGAGAGGGTGGTGGTGTGAGAGGGTGGTGGTGTGAGAGCGTGGTGGTGTGAGAGGGTGGTGGTGTGAGAGGGTGGTGGCGTGAGAGGGTGGTGGTGTGAGAGCGTGGTAGAGTGAGAGGGTGGTGGCGTGAGAGCGTGGTGGAGTGAGAGCGTGGTGGAGTGAGAGCGTGGTGGGGTGAGAGGGTGGTGGAGTGAGAGCGTGGTGGAGTGAGAGCGTGGTGGAGTGAGAGGGTGGTGGTGTGAGAGGGTGGTGGTGTGAGAGCGTGGTGGTGTGAGAGCGTGGTGGAGTGAGAGTGGTGGAGTGAGAGCGTGGTGGAGTGAGAGTGGTGGTGTGAGAGGGTGGTGGTGTTGGAGAGCGCATGCTACGGAGTGGAGAACCGAGTGTAGTATACGGAGCGACGGTGTAGAAAGTGGGGGAGCGAGTTTCGTGGTGTAAAGGGAGTGCCATTTTGGGGTGTATATCCTGGCAGGGAGTGGATCGGGTAGTAGAGTTCCTGGCGTGGTGTGTCCCAAGCTTGGCGTGAGCGGTGTTGTCAGAGATCTCGGCCGGGTCGCGGTGTGACTTTCGTGAGCACGGTTCGCGGTGTGGACGCGTGGCGCTGCGTGCGGAGTGGTTCTGATCGCTCGAGCGTGGTGTGTCGATCTTGGCGTGGTGTGTCGATCTTGGCGTGGTGTGCACGCCCCGTACATTCTGGAGCGCGCTGACGTTAATGCGCACTCGGCTTGATTGAGTGCGATGAGGTAATGTTCTTAATAGGGCGGAGTTTCGGCTGAATATTCTCGTAAAAGCCCTTGCCACGTATTTATTTGGCGCAAGGTACGCCAGACGGCACGACGGCAATGTATTTTGGACAGTAAAAACGTCCAATATATTTTATCACCGTCTGCGAGTGTGTCCCAAACTCTGCCCTGTACGCATATATACTCGAGGGGGTGGGGGGCGGGGGGGTCAGAAAGATTTGAGAAAGATGCCAAATGAAAGTTGCACCAACTTAATCTTCAGCGTGGGGGCTTTTTTTTTTTACGACTCTCACCTTCTGTGTCACCGCTCGACCGTAATCGGCGCATTTGGCCGGTGGCGTTCAGAGTGGCGGGCCCTGCATGCGAGCGGGTTCGGTGGTGCATCGTTTACGCTTTGAGATGCGTTCATTAGCATCAGCCACGGTCAATACGCCGCTGGACAGAGGCCGACTCAAGCCGACTCCATCTCTCGCTGTCGTGCCATGGAAGAATCCATCGACGCTAGCGCGGTGTACACGAGCGCGTTCCCATCGATGCATCGTCTCCGTAGTTGACGTTTTTGGACGCATTCCTATCTTTGGATGCTATTCCGTCATTGTTCTCGACCATCGTCCCCTCTAGCCATGACGTGTCCTACCTAAGCCCACGTGCTTCTTCTAAGCAGTCGATATAATGTATAGAGCGTGCGTGCGTGCGTCCTGCAATCACACGTGTTCCTTCCATCGGTTTCTCAATGTACGGCCATCTCAAAATCCTATTCTCGCAACTTCCCGACTGCCCGTTCTACCTCTCTCGGTGTGTGTGCACAGTCGTTATCACATTCGTCAATCACGCTGCGACGTTTCGGGCAATGACTTTTCTGCACAGCGCATAATCACGTAACTTGTAACAAGCGTAACGCGTTATTTATGTGCTCTGAAGGACAGTTGCCCGAAACGTCACCCATTTTTTTTTTCCCCCGATTGATATTCATGGATGTGATGAGGTTATTTTCTTGCTTGGCGCGCCGTTATAACGTGCGCGGTTGCGAAGTTTCACTCGCACGCGCGCGTGTGTGTGTGCGCGTGTGCGTGTGTGCGTGTGCGTGCGTGCGTGTGTGTGTGCGCGTGTGCGTGCGTGTGTGCGTGTGTGTGTGTGTGCGTGCGTGTGTGTGTGCGCGTGTGCGTGCGTGTGTGCGCGTGCGTGTGTGCGTGTGTGTGTGTGCGTGTGTGTGTGTGCGTGTGTGTGTGTGCGTGCGTGTGCGTGCGTGCGTGTGTGCGTGCGTGTGTGTGTGTGCGTGTGTGTGTGTGCGTGTGTGTGTGTGCGTGCGTGTGCGTGCGTGCGTGTGTGCGTGCGTGCGTGTGTGTGCGTGCGTGCGTGTGTGTGTGCGTGTGTGTGTGCGTGTGTGTGCGTGCGTGTGTGTTGAACTTCTTCTGCACCGTACGTAGCCGACAGCGCTAATGGCGCGCGCGTGAATTCCCTTCCCCCTCTCGCAACGTTTATACACGACAAAAACCAAACACACCAGTCTGTGCCCTTCGGTATATTTACAAGGTCACGATATATACAACAAATCACAAAGAAAGCATATCATATTTAAAGTACAAAATTATATTGAAATACTTCAATACAAAAACATGATCCATGTTTTAGTACTTATAAAATATATCTTCATTCAGGCAGCGGTAAAAACTAAAGGCTAGGAACACAAACGTCGGGTTGATTTGGGGGAAGGGGAGGGGGGCGTATGGTGAGGATGGGGTAGAGTTGCAAAGATAGATTTTAAAAAACAACAACGACAACATACATGAAGCGTTTAACATTCACATTGTATCTATTATAACACTGATTAGTATATCCATTACAGATACTTTGGAGTAAAATCTGGTAATAACGCGATCTCAAAAGCAATTAAATAAACTCTAGAGCTATAGTCTACGTCTGCCCCTTTTTTGCATGCAAAACACCAGTCATTGTTTATGTTTTGAGTGTGAACCAAATCGGGCCCCCTTTATCCTCTTGGCACGAGATACAAATTCCACAACACTACTACATGTACTGCAAAATAAATAAACACTTCAGACTGACCATATAGTATAAATACTGCAATGCTATAAATTAAAAAAAACGAATGTTGTACAGATTTTTTTTTTTAGAACATCACGCGAATAAATACAAGTGGCTTCCTCTAGAATATGTACAGTAGTGTACGGTTCGTGATTTGGCCCTAGCCGGGCGCTTAGAGATGCGTGAAAGAATATGGAAACATTTTTTTTTGCTTTTCTTGTGTGTGTGTGTGGTTTGTTTTTGTTAGGTCCAAAGCTCTACTACCAGTTGTGAAAGATAGGTTTAGGAAATGTGTTCATGTCCACATCGTCGTTGTCCTCCTCCTCTTCCTCACTGATGGCTGGGAAAGGAATACACGGCGGCTGCGATGAGAACAAGGCAAGCGATGCTGCAGTTCTGGGTTCAACAAACAGCGGATCCACAAAAATCACAGGCAAACACAGCTCAAGACAAACGCGTGACGCAACGCACAAAGATGCCCTCTGCGCAGAATGTCGGGGGCGCAAAGCGCCGTGAGCGAGCAACCCATTAAGGTCGCCAGGCTGGGTGGTGTGGCCAGCACTACGCTCCGTCGCCTTTATCTCAGCCACACATGTGAGGCTGAGCCGAACCGACGGGTTTTGGTCACAGAGCGGTTCAGATAATCGCCGCTGGTGCCATCTGCGGCTGTGAATTGAACATGCCGAGGGGATTCATCTTCTTGGTTCTTTCGGTAAAGTCACGTAGAAGGGAAATAATAAAATAATAAAAATAAAACATAATAAAATAATTCTCACGACGTTTTCGGCCACAACGCAAGCAGAAGAACAGATCTGTCGGAAAGACAGCGTCTGAATTCAGACGCTGTCTTTCCGACAGACCTGTTATTCACCTGAGGACGGTTGCTTGCGTTATGGCCGAAACGTCGTGAGAATTATTTAATTATGTTTTATTTTTATTATTTTATTATTTCCCTTCTACGTGACTTTACCGAAAGAACCAAGAAGATGAATCCCTGCAGTCACGAAAGCTTTAAATCGAAATTTAAATGCCGAGGGGAGTGAAGGACACCATACCGAGTGTGGACAGTGTGTAGCCGCATGAGCTCCAGATCGCGTTTTGTTTTATTTCACCTCCATGAGGTAGGTGATTAAATTGATCACGTGTGAATTGTAAATGGTTAAGTTGATGATTACTCAGTGAGCTCTTGTTCAATTAAACACGTTCGACTCCACACTCTCTGAATTTTTTCAGTACGCATAAATGCATGCGCGTCACGCGTATGCAAGTTACGATAACAATTTAGAAATTAATGCGTGTTGGTAAATGTGCGTAATTAACATATCTTGAACGTACTCATTGCATGCGTCGATCATATAGCACACAAGAACAGTTCGTGCACAAAGAGGCGATGTGTATCTTTACTCTTTGGTTCTTTTGGTAAAGTCACGTAGGTGAAAAAAAAATAATTATTATTATTATTAGAATAAATTAAATCACGACGTTTTACTAAAGTAAAAAATAAATCTTGCTCTGGTTGTCACACCTGATGATGATTGCTTGTATTGCAATCAAAACGTCGTGATAAAATGTATTTATTTATTTAGTTTATTCTATTTTTTCACCTACGTGACTTTACCGAAAGATCCTTGCAGTCACGAACACTTCAAATCTAGGATGTGTGTCTTCCCCACTAACTCCCCGTCTGAAGTGCTCTGGTTCTGGTTAGACTCACTGACATACCATTCCAGCAATATCCGATTGTGAGGTTCCATTGATTAATTGAGGTATCCATCTACCGAGGTGCTACTGACTCAAGAGGCCCCATTGTGAGGTCCCAGTGACTCACCACATACGTTGCACTGACTCATTGAGATAATATTCCCTTATTTAAGTCCAATTACCTCTTTGGGGCCCGACTGTGAGATCTCATTTCCTCTCCGATGCATCCACTTACCGAGGTCCGATTGTATTCAATGAATTTCCATTGACTTATTGAAGTCCAATTTACTCATTGAGTTCCATAGCCTCATTCAGTTTCCAATGCCTCTATGGGGGTCTCATTGTGTGCTTCTTTTGCATAATTGTCTCATTGATGTCCCACTGTGCGGTCCCACTGTGAGGTCCCATTGACGCACAGAGGCCCCACGTGATCAGCGGCATGCTCGTCAAGGTGAGGGCGCTTCTGGTCAGTCTGTAAATAACAGAATACTAGTGTGGAGGTGGAGACTACACATGTGTATGTTACACTGATTTCGCACCGTATGTAGCCGACCGTACTAATCGGAGGCATTACGTATGTGGCTTCCAGGGGCAGCCTTTGCAGCAAGTGGGCCATGGTGATTCTACATGTGTTGATGAATCATAACAAGAACGAAACCGGTCCACGACTGTTCATCACTGCGCCTTGCCAAAGCCGGTCACATTTTGCTATGCATGTATTTTGACGGTCATCTACGGTAAGGAAAGAGCACCACAATGCACTACTTACTTTTTATTCTTCTTCAGGAACAGTTATCGGCATGTGCACGGAGGCGGTGTGCTCCCCACGCACAGCGCGTGTCTGCGTACCCGTTCTATAAACCTCTGTGTCGCGCGTGCCAAGCGCGTGCGCGCGTGCGTGCGTGCGAGTGCGCGCGTGCGTGCGTGCCCGCGCACGGGTGTCCCTTACCGCTGCAGTAGCCCGTGTGCTTGACCTCCAGGTAGATGCCGCTGGAGCACGCGGCGTTGCTCATGGCGCACGCGTTGGGGTAGGTGTTGTTGTTGGTCGCGCACACGGGCTCCATGCGCTTGGCGTCGCGGCAAATGTCGTTGCACTGCGCGCAGTGCGGCCCTCCCTCTGCAGGGTCCCAGAGGCACTTCTTGCCCGATCCGCACAGGACGTCGTCACAGGACTTGGACTCTGCGGCGAAACGGTTCGACCCGCACAGGAGGACGTCGGATGTTAATCGATTTAGTTTTGATTATCTTTGCTGGGTGGTTGTTGTTGGTGCCGCTGCCACCCCATGCACACGCAGAGGTTTCTTTAAAAATGACGTTCAAGGTTTCGCCCAAATTAAACTTCCACTTTTGTGTGAACCACAAAACATAAGCCATGAACTCACGCGCTGCGCGCCCGATGATTGGTAAACATGCCCCACGTGACGTCACGAGGTGCTTTTATCATTGCAAATACGCGCTCTCTGCATCACGACTCAACGTACACACACACACACGGACGGATGTTATCGTATCTTAAACTGAATAGGCGTTCTCTACGCCTCGTGGAAGGGTGTCCAGTAGCAGCAGTGAGGCGCGTGCAGTGTTAAAGATCTGTTTGTGCCGTCTCTGGAACGAGGTGAATTGGACAACTCGGAAAAGATGAGCGGTGGGATGGCAAGGAGTGGAGTTTGTAAAACACAAACCTTGAGACCTCCCTTATGTACACTATGTATGTTGAACTTAATTCGCACCGTACGTAGCCAATCTGTCTCCCAGTTCCTTTTTTTTTCTTGAGCTATGGATTTGCTTTGGCCTTTGTCGCTCTGTCGGAGGTGCCGCTGTCAGCTCGTGTAACTGTTGATTTAAACAATAATACCTTCGAGAATGTTGTCACTTTCCCCGCAAACCCATTAAGTCAATTACGCAACTTCCTCTCTAGCTCGCGTTGAGCCACGCTCGCTACGCGACATCTGCCGAGATGTCTTTCCACAGGGCGATATAAACCAGCGTGCCCCATGACTCTGCCCCCGAACGCTCCGAGTCTATTTGCACCGTCGCGTTAGTATATTTGCTGCGCGCAGCGGTAAAGCGGACGCGGTATTCTCTCCGTCAAACCCCACTTTCTTACCCAAAATTCGCTACACGCGGTTTGAATTCACTCATTGGCGGCTTTGCTGTCGGACGTGGGAACAGCACTGAGTGTGTGCTGTTCGGCGCCACTCGGCAGGGAGCTGTCTCCCCTCGTGCCGTTTCGCTTTGTGCGCCCCTAATTTTTTGGAACGCATCTACCGCTGTCGCATAAAGTGGGGGGGGGGGGGGGGGGACCCTGTAATGGGTTTTGATCGCGGTCGTGGAAATCCGCCGAGGGTCGCGGCATGAGCGGGAAGTCAAAACGGGGACCGCCTCGAACTCCTAAATGACAGCCGCGTGCTGTAAACAAGACCCTTCCTCGATGGCTCACAACGGCGTGTTTGTTGTTGCCGTGTGATAACAATACGGCGACGGGGAATGCACTGACGTCTCGCTTCATATCATGAATATGCCTGGGGTGGATTGACGCGTGTGTGCATGCGTGTCCCCTAGGTCTACTTGGCCTTAATTAAGCACCGCGCGCGGTGCGCGAACACCGAGGGTCGGCCAGGCGTGTTTCTGCATGGCCACGGCACCCCTGCGCCATAATATGTCCTCGCTAACAGCCCTTGCCCCAACAGTACAGCTATACGAGTTGGCGGCGGTGGGGCTCGGGGCTCGATGCGTTTGCTGTGCGCGCGCGCGGCGTCAACCCCCACTCCCAAAACACCGTCTTCAGGCGACGCGTTGCGAGCACGGCGCCGCTACCCGCCCAGCATGCGTGCGCGTCTCCGCTCCCCTCTGTCTCCCTCGCCTGTTCTCTCCCGGAGTCCCCACCCCCGACTCTCTCTCTCTCTCTCCCCACTGCTCGTAAACACGCGTTACGCTCCCACCACCACCTCCTCCTCCCCCTCCGCGGTTGTTTTCGGGGCCGTGGCGTACGTGGCGAGCGCCAGGGAGAGACCGCGCGTTGCGCAAGAGGCGGCGGGAATGACGCGTGCGGCCGGAAAGCGTCAGACGGATCGCGCACGTTTAGCGCTGTCGGTCGGTCGGCGGGGGGCGGGGGGAGGGGGGGCCCTATTTTTACCCGCCCCGCCGGGAACACATCACACGCGCAGACGCATTAATAGCGGTGCTTTCAGCGCGCTCCAAAAAGGCCGCCTTCCAACAAGACTGGAACCGCCCGCCGCCGCCGCCGCTGCAGCTGCTGCTGCTGGTGGCTTCGCGTGGAGCGGTGGCGCAGTTGCTAGCGCACCGCGCTTCTGAACCTGACCGCAGGCTTTTTGAGTTCGATTCCTGGCCACGGTTATAATGGCAGTGGGTGAGTCGATGCAAATATCTGAACTGGTCCTGGGCGCTACAGTTACTCCATCCACCAACCTGCGCCGACCGGCGTGGTGATGTATGGTCGCGTATGGTTCAGATATCACTCGTCACTGATATTGGCCGTGGCCGATAATTGAATCGGCTCGGCGGGTTCGTAGCGCTGCGCGATGGGCTTATAACCGCTTCGTTGCCACCGCTCTTCCAAAATTAAATGTTCACTTTGTAAAAAATGTGACCCGTGGAACGTTTCTTTTTTGCACGTTGATAAGAAGACGTGAGGGGTGAGGTCATGGGTACGTGCGAGTATGTTTCCTTCTGCAAATAATCATTCCGATGCGGAAGTCTACTTCAAAGCTGCAGCATGCGCGTCGGTGTAAACATTTGCGAGCCCGAGTGATTGTGGCAGTGTGTTTGAGGCAGGTTTGATGATTGCCTCTAATCGCTTTAATAAGCGAGAATCCACTGCGGATTCTGCGGCGGAGCGAGGCTCTGTGTGTGTGTGTGTACGGCTGAAATACCCTCGTGCGTCTGGGTTTCTTAACCTCTGCTCCGTCGCAATACATATATGTGATGCCGTGTGTAAGAGCTGATCACATTAATGTCTAAAAACAATAATGCCAAATATCGACTCGTTAAAGGCTCAGTGAGCCTCAAGACTTTCTCAGGAGGGTGCTGCTTACATTGGCATGTGTGGCCCAATTCTATTGAGTGTTTGACTTCATGTGGGGAGGAAAATCGGAGAACCAGAAGAAAAGCCACCAATGGCATATTAACGGTGATTAGGTTGAACACTTTATTTTTCCTACAAGGCAGCTTTGAAGGACTGTCATAGAGAATTGCCTGTGGAAATATTTATGGAAAACATCTCTTCAAAAACTGTGGGATCTGGCAGAATTCCGGAAGCAATTGCATTGACCGTGCTGACCTCTTGAACTCCAAAAATATTCAAGCCAGTGTACAGATTGAACCCGGACACGGCAATCACAACCCTGCTGAAAGAAACGTGTGCTTCTGCTCACCCAAAGGCTGAACAAATGAAACTCAATCCCTTAGGGAAGGGCAATGAAGCCAGTTCCAAGGTAAGTTACCGAGTCTGTGGCACAACTGTGATAAGCGTGATAGGAAATCATGAGAATACAATGGACGAGACGGTTGGGGCAATGTCTAAAAAATGTACCACCGGTGCTTTGGGTGACCGAGTGTGTGAAAAGCATTGGCGATGTCTGCTGCACCGCATATACTCTCAAGCCAAGACTCCACACCACCTCTCCACACCCTCGTGGCCGACGACGACGACAGGACGTCTTTATTGCTCGTGTTGTAGCTAAGGGAACTCAAAATAGACACGTGATCTCGTGGCCTAGAGACGATTACACCCCGATGTTACAAATCACATCGCTGGTTAACAGCTGCCCCTTGGGCTGCGTTGCCATCATATCATTGTTTATGTGTGTGTGTGTTAACACACGTGGCCTCAAGGTGCACATAGTCTGGCACAAGCGTCGTGGTGACGTCACCACCACTTAGTGGCGAATGGCGGTTGTTGTTGGTGTGTGTTAACAAGGCCTGGGAATCCCATGGGCAGACTCGGCCTCAAATTCAAAATAAGCGCCTGGCGCGTGGTACCAACATTGGCGCTGGAATATACAAAAACTATGACTTAGTAATGCGTGGTGCTGGCCACAGCATGTGCCTAGATTCTGATGAGTTACAGAATGTGTTAGAACTGTTCAAACAGGGGCTCGCTAGCAACTCTTGCCCTAACTGTCTAATAAAGGCTACATGGGGGGGGGGGTCTTTGTCAGTGTGTACATGTGCGTGTGCACCCACACACTCAACACACACGAGGGGGAGCTGGGTGTCTGCTTTCACCGTGTTATTCTTTGGTTGGAGTAATCGGTCTTGATTATAATTTAAGCTTTTATTAGTTTACTTTTTTATACATCCGAGAGCAGCGAGTTTCCCCCCTTTCTGGGCTTGCGGTCCACCGTCAAACTTCGCTAAACGTCGGTGGGCCGGCGTGCAGTAGACGATCTGACGCTCTGTGAACCGAATCGCGGGTGCAACAATCGTGCTCGGAGCTCTTCCCACATCCCTGCAGACCGCCGGTGGTCACTACCAGTGGGTGCCCGTACCAGAGGCTGGGCACGACCGCATTATTGAACCAAACATCCTTGCGATTCGGTAAAATGTCAAATCGTCGAGCGCCCACGCAAAAGCGTTCCGCGAATACGCCTCCGTCGATGCGAAGTGTGCGTGCCGTGGGGTGGCGAACGGGAAAGTCGTTCGGCCAATCCGTGTTTCAAATACGCACTGGAGCAGCGTCCCTGGTAGGCGACGCCGATGGACTTTCCGAGCAGGCACGTGGCACGGCGCAGGTTGCACACGCTGGCGTAGGTGACGCCGTCCTTGCCGCACACGTGTTGCTGCTGCTGCTGCTCGCCCTGGCCGGAATCCGCGGGGCACGGGCGCAGGTTGCAGAGCACGCAGTGCGCGTTGTTGTTCTGGTCCACCACGCAGAAGGTGCCGCTGGGACACTGCACGTCCTTGCAGTTCTCTGCACGCACACGCACGCACGTTCGTCGACACCTCTGGGGGTTAATCGGATTGCCGCCGCCACCGCCGCTGTTCATGGTCGCAGTGGATGTTGTTGTTGTTGTGACCGCAATTGCAATCATTAGGTGGTGTCAAAGCGTGAGAATGAGAACATGAGAATTCACGGTGCGTAGTAGTCGTATTAGTAGTAAAAAATTAGAGCGAAAAGATGAAGATTTTTTTTTGTCCGGAAAGTTCTGCTAAATTGAGCAATGTGGATGTTTGACTAATACCATTTTAATGAGATTAATGTGAGAGGAAACCACAGTGCATGGAGAACACCCACATACAGTTATCCATGGCGGCCACCCATTCAATTACTAAGTAGGCTAAATTCTAATTAGGCTTCTAAGATCTAATGACATTTAGTAATAGGCATAGGTGGTAGATGACTGGAGATCCATGACAAAACATGACAAATCTTACTCGCCTCATGTCAATACGATCAAAGCGTCTGCCCTGCTAATCTCCATTGGAAGCTCTGGGGAGGAGGTGGTGCAAATTCCACATTGCTATGGCGAGGTCCAGAATCAGCGCGCGAGGCCAGATTCTAATTTCTGTCGGTCTTTACTCGTTTAGAGCCATCAGATTCCCCAACGTCCGATTACTCGCAGTCCACTCTGCTCCACATTTCCACATTTACCAGTCTTATGAATTGAAATGCACACTCAATTGTCACACCTAGCGCACACTTAATGTAGGGGGGGGGGGGGGGGACGTGTCCCAGGCCAGACTGAGAGTGCTGATTCAGAGAGTGATCTCAATATAGTTTGGGACACCCAAAACCAATTTTGGTTGGAGACCGAGGATCATGGTGCTTTTTTGTTGTTGTTGGAACAATGCAAATGGTGTCCAGGCAAATGCGATGTTTGTTTGGTCAACAACAATCGGCTGATAATTCAGGCGAGTGTCTAATTTGATTGCTGGGTATAGTCCAGGTGTTCGTGGTGGATGAGAGTACCGACGAAGACTGACTTTTTTGGCACTCAGACCACGCCATGCAGAACCCTATTGGAAAAAAATTTAGATTCTATGAGGCTTTCCTGGATGATTGCATTACATTTTGTAAAGCGTTAAACATGTAACACGCTAATGGCTTTGAACAGTACGAACATCAATCGTAAGAGAGTGTATATAAATACGGTGTGTGTATATATATATATACTCTTATATATACACATGCAGGCTCGGCGGATTAAGAATACACCCCTAAAGACAAAAGTGGGCAAAAAACCAGCGCATGCGTCTGCTCCCCGCGCAGGTGAAGGACGGTCACGCAAAGTTGCACCGACGGCCCAGCATATTCCATTGGCACTTTCCTCCAAACGTCAGCCGCCGGTCATGAGTGTGGCTATTCTGAGACCGCTGCTATTTCAAAATGTGGCTATTGTGAACCACAGACTGGGGAAAAAGATAAAGTGGGGGGAGGGGGGGGGGGGAGGGGGTGGAAGCTGGCTGCAGGGAGGAGGAGAGGCGATCGGAGCGCGAGCGTTGGTGGGCGGGCGAGCGCAGGCTGGCGGGTGGTGGGACGGCGAAAGAGGTGCGCTGTGATGAAGGAGCCGTGTTGGGGGTGGTGGGGAGTGCGCAGTCGCCGATTGCGGGAGGCATGGTGCGGTTTGTTTTTGGCACCCATTGAGTGAAATCTGCCGCCGGCCGCTGCCACCGCCGCCACCGACCGCTCGGTCGAGCGCCAGTGTGACCAACGTAAATATCCTGGCCCTGTCACTCGAGTCGCGTGCGAAAGTGCACGTCTGGCTACGCGGTAGAAAGAGTTGGTGGGAGGTGGTGGTGGGGGGGGCACTGCGCGTGCTGGAACACCCAGGGGCTTTTTTTTTTCAAGGGGATAGAGAGAGCGAGAGCGGGCAAGGGAGAGAGTGAGGGATAAGCCAAAGCCTGGCTGTCTGGCACAGAACGTGAAGGTGCATGAGAGTGTGTGTGTGTGGGGGAGCGGTGGTGTAGCGGTTAGCGCGCTGTGATATGAACTTGGCTGTCTGGCACACAACGTGAAGGTGCGTGCGAGTGTGTGTGTGTGTGTGGGGGAGCGGTGGTGTAGCGGTTAGCGCGCTGCGATATGAACCTGGCTGTCTGGCACATAACGTGAAGGTGTGTGCGAGTGTGTGTGTGGGGGAGCGGTGGTGTAGCGGTTAGCGCGCTGCGCTATGAACCTGGCTGTCTGGCACATAACGTGAAGGTGCGTGCGAGTGTGTGTGTGTGGATCAACAGAAGTCTGTGTTGGCAGGTGCAGCAGTCGCAGGGATTTGAAAGTTGATGGTGCTGATGATGGGGGATTGTAGGGAGGTGTTTGGATCTCGTTAAAAAAAAAAACATTTGCCGACTGGGATTTTCAATTTGTGATTTAGTAAAGCATAAATTGTTAATTAATTACAAACGGCAAACTTTGAATAATTAATTGGTTAATGATTCCATTGAGGATCAGACCGGGATTTCCCAAGCGCCTCCATGGAGAATGCCTTTCCGTGTTTACCAATCGTCTCCCGACCGAATGCAAAACAAATTGTTACATGCTTCACGCGTCTGATGATTGCTAAACACATTCCTCGTGACCTCGAGGGTGCTGGTTCAGATTAAGAACGTGTGTGTGTGTCGTCGTGTGTCTTTGTACTTGGCAGCGTGCTTGACGGTGCATGTTTAGCAATCATCAGACGCGTGTGGCGCGTGACTACTTAATCTGTATTTGAACCGATAAGATAGTAGAACATAATGAGACAAACTGCTGAGGTTCGGCGTGAGGACTACAGTTTTGGAAACTATCAAAAGGCAGGAGTTGGTCTTATAAGGCAGTGGTTACGTGCGCAAGACCCAGATTAAAATGCTTTATAGTGCTGTATATCATCAGTGAAGGACATCGTGAATGTTCCGTGTTAAGTACTTGATATTGTGTTACATTTGCATTGGCTTTGATCCAGCAAAGATAATGCACGCACGCTCACTTTCTCCAACCACCACTTTCCCTTTTAAAATGGCCTTTCGTTTGAGAGCATCACTTTGCTTGTTTGTATCAAGCGAAGCAAAACAACGCAAGAGATTGCTAATCGAGAAAGCAGCTGTGTTCGATATCCACCAAAGTGACTTGCATGAGCTTTGTCGGCTGTCATGTGACACATTCCCTGGGATATTTGTGCTTGCCCGGTTTTTTTTTACCAGCGTATAAAATAAATTCACCTCGCAATGAGAGCCGACCTGGCTGCAGCCCATAAAAGAATGCATTAAACAATTCGTGCACATTCCAGTTATCAATTACACCACCCGCACATGTCACCTGCAATTGGGGCAGTGTTTGGAGTGTCTTGCCCTGCCATGCCCTGCCTTGCCCCGTCGTAAGCCCACACTGTCCAGGGTTGGATTGCGTCGCTGGGCAGTGGGGCATTTGCTAATTTCAGTCAGCTGGCTGACACAGCTGAATCGAGTGCGTGGGGTAGTTACACTCCGGGATCGGTTTAGGGAGAGAAAAATAGTAGGAAATAAAATAATGAATAACAAGATGATAGTGGAGCCCTATTCTTACCAAGCAAAGCCTCACCAAGCCTCAAGACTCAGAATATAAGCGGATAATGCTCATAGTTCTGCACAGACGGATTCACGGACTCGTTTGCTCTACTGCCATCTCCTGTCCACTGGTAGTTCGGCAGATATGGGACTTTAGTACAACTGCAAATCTGTCCACTAACCCTCGCCTCCAATGCGCTGCATTACTGGAATGCGTGCATCACCACCCAATGCTCCAATCTCATATTGAACCACAGGTGAGAGGAGAGTAGAACAGGGAAGAGTGTCAGTGGCATGGCGCAAGGAATAACATGGAGCCCTCTGTCCAATGTCCCCGTCCTCGGGCCTGTGTGGCCCAGCACAGTTGCACCGCCTGCACACTCAAAAGCTGTGCCACTGGAAGGGTGATGGTGGTGTGTGGGTTGGGTGGGTTCGGTGAGAGGTTGGTGGCGGTGTGGGTTAGATGAGAGGTGAGCTAGAGGTGGGTGGTAAGCACTCACTCTGGCATGGCCCATGGTACTGCATCTCCAGGTTGGGTTGGCCCTTGCACCTGGCCTTGAGGAGTGCGCACCCGTCGCGGTACGTCTTGCCGTCCGTGCCGCACACGGACGACCGGCTCGCGTTGGAGCAGTCGGGGGCGCAGACGCAACGCGGCTTGTTCCTGCGGCTCATGCGGCACTGCTTGCCGGGCCCGCAGTCCACGTTGTCGCACGTCTCTGCAATAGAGATGCGACGCGCACGCAGACAGAGACACGCACAAACGCAAAGAACACCCGCCGTAGCCTTTTAACAGACTGTTTTTGAGTTGTGCGCCTTTTGGCGTCATCTGGTCCAACACCATTTGAGACTAGGCTCTAAGAAAAGCTGTCTCGGCTGTGGACCAATCAACTTCAAGGGCAGTGCATATCATTATCATTATCAGAGCTGTTTCTTTTTGTTTGCATTTTGACTGCTTGTGTTGTGGTTATTGCAAACATGATGCCTTGTATAAAGGTGTCAGTTTTTTGTACCAGTTGAAAGGGTAAAAACCTATCACTATACTTTTAATAGACTGTTTGGGCAAGTGCTGTTCGCGAGCAGCTATTGATGCCAGAACGGCGCACGGTGAACCGTGGAGGCTCGGGCACTAAAACTAAACTATTTATTTTATCAGGTAAGGCCAATTGAGCTATATCGCTCTTTTTCAGAAGCGACCTGATAGCTCAACGAAGCGCCTCATCATGTGGAAATGTATCGCAGCCAAATAATCTAAACGCATGTTCTACATGTGGAGGGGGAAATCGGGGGACCTGGAGAAAAATCCACGCGACCACAGGGAGAACATGCAAATTCCAAATATATCGGCGTCACAGTCTGGATCGAACCCACGACCTCCGGTATGCCAGAGGAAGCAGACAACATCTCTTCACCGGGGCACACCAGGATTGCCTCGCCAATGCTGGTGTTTGGCACAGCAGCAGGAAGTACTCATTTAAGGTTGAGTAGACCTGGGGCGGCCCAATACGAGTTCAGATATCTCGCGCCACGAATGTTAGCCAGCGCCGCGAAGTGAACCCAGGTTGATGGGCTCCACGAGCGGAGCAACGACCGCCACATCGCCACGACCCAACCGCCCCCATCACACGCACACATTCGGGCACACGCGCAAAGGTAAGTCGAGTGAAATAACATCGAACTGGTATATCAATGCGCAATTTAAACCGCATGTGCTATAAACTGGAGTCTGATTTCTAGCCATGAGCATCGGGAGTAATTGGTTTGTTTTGGAAAGTGACTTGGCTCCAGTGATGTGGAATTGGCCCAACTGAGTGCTGTAAGCGGGAGAGTGGTCGTGTGGTCAGTGGAAATGTTGAGAAGATGAAGTTGGTCGACCTTGCGTGGTGCGGGTCCAAGACCAGTGCCCCTTTGTGCTTCGCGTTGGTCTCATTCAAGCAATAGGCGCTCACTAACATCACTTGCCCTGCCTTCCTGGCCAGGTGTAATGGGAGAGAGACTTTCGTTTTCAATTTGGGTCTCTCAGCTGCTTGTAAGGGAAAGGTTTAAACAATTGCACATATCTACGCACGATGTTATTACAATGACAGATTCGTTTTTTTTATATTTGAACTTTATGGCGAGACCCCAGGGACCTCAGGGTCCCGCCATAAGGTTAATATATTAAAAAAAAGTCGAATTGCAGCCACATCTCGAGACACTGTATAGAAACGGAGTGGGCATGTTTATTTCGTAGAGAGAAACGGACAATCAGTCGTCATCAGAGGGGGCAGGGGGGGAAGGGACCTTTTGAGCCTGGATTTGAGCAGGGCACAAGGAATCGACGACACGGAGAGTTGGGGGAGGGGAGTTCCAGAATGTGGATGGGGCAGCAAATGAGGATGAGCGACCTCCCACCGACTGAAGGTTGAAGGGGGACCGGGGGGGGGGGGGGGCTTTGATAATCGTTTTTATTGCAGCATTTTTGACATCGTGTTGTGTTGTGAGTGTGAGCGTGCGAGTGCTCAATTATGTGGGGCGGTCGTGTCGCGGTTAGCGCGCTGCGCTACGAAACTCGAGTTCGATGCCAGCTCACGGCCAACATCGGTGAACCGGTCCTGCGCCTCCCCTAGGTCGACTCAGCCTCAAATGAGTACCTGGTGCGGTGTGTACGCATCGCACCTCGGGAGACAAAGGCAGTCGGGCGTGGTGTTGGCCACCCACCCCCTCCTGTGCTGTGCCGGCCTTCAAAGGTGTTCACTAACAGCACTTGCCCCTACAGCCTGTTTGGGCTATACGGGGGATCTTTGTCTTCGTGCTCAAAACGTGTATGTCGGCGTTGGAATGCTGACAATCCTACATTCAACTACCCTTCCCCACGGGACTCCACAATACTCATAACTGATCATACATTTGTAAAATCCTAATGGCATGTGTCATCTGGTAGCCTTTGAAAACAGTGCTTGTGGATGCTCAGCGTGGAGCGGTTGTGCAATAATTCCGCCTACAAATGATATTGAGTCTGGCTGCTCGGACAGGAAGTTGCCAATACCCATCAAGATAATTTCACATCACATTTCTGTAATTTTTGTTTTCATCCGTTGCAACATCGTTCCCACGACAGCGTTTCGACACACCAGACGAAAGCCAATTTATAATAATCCCAATTTTTCGAAGAATGCCCAGAAATATTTATTCACCCCAGAAACCATTCACCCCAGAAATCCTTGCCGAATCCCAATACAGTGTTTAGTTTGTTTCCAGGATGGTCGCGCTACATTGGGATTTTTTTGGACGATTTCGTTCATGAGTGTTTTGCATCATGTAGGAGACATCCGGAGTATCCAGATACAACTCATGCCGACGATGGGGTTGACCGTCACATTTAAAGGTGGTCGCTATCAACACTTGCCATGACAGTTGAGCACCTGGGCACCTTGAATTTCTGCGCTTACAACGCCCGAGAAGCCCTGGTGGTCACCCACTTCAGCACTAACCAGGGCAAAATCCTGCTTTACTTGTGAGCTGTAACGGGATTGGACACTTTTATGGTGAGCTTTTTTACTTTGTTAGAAAGTAGGAATTGGGTGAAATCAATCACCAATTACTCCCCTCCTTAGGCACGGTATTTACGACATTAATACGTCCCATAAAGTCATCTTCATATATCCGTGCATTGACAAATTTGAACCATTTCTGGCCGTAAGTTGGAGTTGCTGCTGCTGTGTGCGCGGTAGACGTCACCTCGCATTCCAGCACACCCTGTGCGCGGATTAATAGTGGTCTTTGTGGACCTTTCACCTTCCCGCAGTTCATCTTTTTTTCACGTCTAGCAGTCATCACACGCGTCATGCGGGCTTACACGTGCATAGTTTTTTTTTAAATGAATAAACCTGGAAACGCATTTTGGGGTCGTGACTCACGGATGCTTGGCATTTGGGCAGCGCTGGCGTGAAATACTCATTCTTGTACGAGCAGAGAAAAGCAAGCAGTGGGTGGTGGTGGTGAGTGATTTGGCAAGTGAATGAGTGTGCGTGTGTGTGAGGTGGGTGGGCGAGAAAGTGAATGAGTGGGTCGGTGATGAGGTGAGCGAGTGAGTGAATGGGCGAGTGAGTGCTGACTAAACGAGCATCGCCAGGGTTCGGCACCCAGAGAAGTGAACACGGTGTATCCACTCCTGAGCAGCGACGATCTCACAGTCAGTGGCCAATGATAGCAACGCGCTTTTAGACATTGATTCGAGACAGATGCTCAGGACATTGCCTTTAACCAAAGCTATCAGCGTAACCTCAATTAAAACCAGCACCTGACGCTGATGGTTAATTGCTTCGGATAATATGCTGGTTCTTTAATCAATCAATTATCCCATCAATTAATGCATTGACGCCAAGACTTAATAATGGAATTGGTCAACACATCCCAATGTAGGAACCTTGAGAAATAATAGCCTTGTGACTCGGTGAAGCTCTGATTGGCAACCAAATACACGATATCCATTCAGAAAAACGCGCACGTGGTTTAAGAGAATGTCAATCAGGTGTCTGGAAGGACAATCTGCACAATGCGCTCCATTTACGTTGGCTTATTTTTTTAAACAGATTTGTAAAGATTGCGGGTTTGTATTTGGTGGTGGTGGTGGCGGTGCGTTCGTGGGTGGGCGGGTGAATTTAGTTTGAGTTTGGAACAGCGGAGCAAAATTCAGGTGAGAAAAACGAAAACGGTGCACGGAGCGGACCAGAGGAATCGGTCATCCGCCGTGCGTCGCACCTTTGCAGGGCTTGCAGTTGGGCGCCCCGCCGCTGAAGGCCATCCAGCGAAACAGCGTGGCAGTGGAGACTTGCTCGCCCGTGTACGCCGAGCCCAGACGACCACTCCGGCAGCACTCCTGCTGGCTCACGTTCATCTTGAGCAGCTCGCGGCAGCGGCCGTTCTTGCTCTGCTGCAGCCAGCAGTTGCCGGCTGCGGGGTGGAAGGGGGGTCGGTGGGCGGTTTGGGTACGAGGTCGGGGTATTGATTATAATGATTGTAATGTATATTCTGGTAAGTACAATGTGAATGTATGCGGCGGGGATACAGACGAATATCCCCCCCGTATAGCCTTAACAGCCTTTTGAGGCAAGTGCTGTTAGCGGGACACACACAAAGACAAAGAACCCCCGTATAGCCTGAACAGACTGTTGGGGCAAGTGCTGTTAGCGAGCACCTAATGAAGGCCAGAACGGCACACGAAGGGGTGGGTCGCCAGCACCACGCCCGACCGCCTTTGTCTCCCGAGTGACGATGTTTACACACCGCACCAGGTACTCCTTTGAGGCTGAGTCGACCTAGGGGAGGCCCAGAACCGGTTCAAATAATCGTCACTTGGTGTTGGCCGTGAGCGGGAATCGAACTCGGGTGAACCGGGTTCATAGCGCAGCGCGCAACCGCTCACCACAAACACACACCGCATACCACACGCCGCATACCACACACCGCATACCACACACGCCGCATACCACACGCGCACGTCGTGTGCTCGGCGAGTGACCAACGCAACAAAATCACGACGCAGCGGCGTCAAGTTGGGCACGGATCGAGAGGCTGCGGTGCTGCATCACCCGCGCACATCACGAACTCCGTACGAGACAGGAGGAGGATGGAGTAGAGAGAGAGAGAGAGTGAGCAAGGGGGGGGGCGCGGGGGGAGTCTGAGCAATGCATCGTGTCGAGTTCGCATCTCAATACGGGCTGCGATTTGTGAATGTTCTGTAAAGCCGCACAAACTGCCGCGTCCTTAAAAAGCAAATAAAGACTCGATCGCAGCGACGCAGGGGAGGGGGGCAGTTTGGGGGGGGGGGGGTCTCGCACAGAACGCGACAGTGGCGGCAGCTGCCAGCCCCGCTTCTCGCCGAGTGGGGATGATGATGATGTACGGCTGCGCACGGCGTGATATACGAGCTATCGTTCATCACGCTTGTTAGATAATACCCATGGGAAGATCACCGTGGGGTTTTCTGGGCGCTTCTTGGAAAGACGCCGCCGAGAAGAGAAACCCGCTCGACACGACGGTGCCCGTGGTGCAACTCGCGCGGGCGCAACTCCGCGGCGGCGGTGGTGGCTGTGGTGGTGATGGCGGTGGTGGTGGCGGTGGTGGTGGTGGCGGTGGTGGTGGCGGTGGTGGCGGTGGTTGTGGTGGCGGTGGTGGTGGTGGCGGTGGTGGTGGTGATGGCGGTGGTGGCGGTGGTGGGGAGATTGACGCGAGTCGCAGTCACTACGTCAACAGTGGCGTCTTGTGCGCCACCACCACCATCTCCACCACCACCATCTCCACCACCACCTCTACCACCGCTACCACCACCACCACGGTCACCGGCGGCCTGAGCGAGCGAGCAGCCTACTAACTTTGTCACCACTTTTCTCCGCAACGCTTTAATTTTGTTGTTGTTGTTGTTGCTGCGGTGCGCAATAGCAACAACAACAACAACTCGAGAAGAGCCCGTCGCGACATCATCGCCCGCCACGGCGCGGTCCGCGCCTTGTTTGTTCCCGAAGCAAACTGGCCACATTGGGCAAATCTTGTACAATTACTGGAGAATTCCTTCATCCCACACCCGACACGCCACCAGCCCGCACCTCGACTCGGCGCGTCTCACACACGTGCTCTGCAATCGCGCATGTTTAAGATCCCCCTCTCTCACTCTCTCTCTCTCTGCTCGTTTCTCTACGTTTGTTTTATTTTCCCTTTAACCAGGAGAGAGAGAGAAAAACACAACGGAACAACGAACGCCGCTCCCGCCGCAAGCGAAAGCGATCGATTCGCTTCCGTCAGTCGGACAATCACGTCGTTTTTGCTTGGCAGCGGTAGTTGTGCGCGCGTCCGTGTGTGTGTGTAGGCGCGCGTCCGTGTGTGTGTGTAGGCGCGCGTCCGTGTGTGCGTGTAGGCGCGCGTGCGTGCGTGTATATACACAGCGGTGTGTATTTATAGCCGCGTGTGGCCGGGTTATTGTCAGAGTTTTCAGTCGCGTTTGCGTCTGGAGCAGGGTTCCGCGAGTGTGTGGATTCCGCGGCTCGTGGCGAGAACGCGCGCTCGTCGTCGCCGTTGCGCCCAGGTGTGCCACGCGGAGCGACGATGGACACGGTGGCCCCCAACAGCGGGGACCCCCACCCCCGCCGCCGGTGAAGGGCAATCAACGTAAGAGGGCGACGGGTTTGAACAAAAATGATTAAAACATCAACCTTCGCATCACCGCGCCCGTTGAAGCCGCCGCGCGCAACAACCCCCGAATTGCGAGATTGTCATTTCGTTTTTCTTCTTCAAACGCGAACATTCCCCCGCCGTCGGCGTCATCACGTCAGACGACGCCGGCCGTCGCGCGCTGCTCACTATGAGAAGAAGCCGCTAGGTGTCGGCAGGTGAAGACGCAACGCTGCTGATGTTTTTGTTGTTGCCAATGCACAATAGCTCTTTATATGCGTGCGTGCGTGCGCGCGCGCGAGACAAACAGATTTGCGCCGTGGCAAAGTGTGCGTACATTGTGTAAACACGAGAGGCGCGTGAACAAATGCGAACGATGCCCTTGGCGTATTCGCGCGCGTGTGTCTGTCTACTGCGACGACGACTCCGACTCACTCACCGTGCGCTGGGTGATTCGCAATGAATGCAAACACGAGGAATGCGCCCAGGAAGACTTTGACGGTCGCCACCTTCTGCGATGACATCTCGAGTTGATGCGCCTCGAGCGGAGACGAAACAAAAAAAATGCTTCTTTTTTAAAAGTGTCACAGTGGACAGAGGAGCCGAGCACTCTTGTCTGTCCGTCTCTCTCAGAGTTGAGACTGGTCGCTCACCGACCTTAAATATTTCACTTGATCAGGCACCACCACTCATCCACCCACCCACCCAGCCAGCGCCCCCCCTCCTTCCCCCACCTCCCCACACCACACCCCCTATACACATACACACACTCCCCAAATCCACATCACCACCCCCCCACCTCCCCCCCCACCCATCTCGCCTCTCCCCAGCACTGATGTAGATGGTGGGCGGTCTCATGCGGTGGTGGTGGTGTCTGGCTGCATTTCGTTACTCGAGGATGGTGGTTGGAGTGGGTGGGTGGGCGAGGGGGTGAACGGGTGGGGAGGGGTGGGAAGAGGTGGGATGGGTCGTAAGAGTGGAGCCAGATTTTTCTTTTTAAGTTGAGCGTGAATTGCAGTATGCGCGTGTTATACGCAGTCCCACCACTGGCACGCACGCGCACTCACGCACGCGCACACGCAGGCGCGCGCGCGCCTCCACTTCATCCTTGCCGAGCGGAGCTGAGCAAGCGATTCGTTCCGTCTCGTGGGGTGGAGTTGGTTCCCATCACGTCACTGTGTCTCCCTCCATTCAGCAGCATTAACGACGAGTCCTCTTTATTACTTTATTTTCCGCTGCTGCGTTCGCAGAAGAAGAGCCAGGTGATAGGGTTCGACTTCTCATTTTTATATGTTTTAATATATTTTATTATATGACCAATGCAAGCTATCGCCCCCCCCCCCCCTATTTCTTGCCGCTAAAATCATTAACAGTTTCATCATCCTGATCATCATAATCAGCAGCAGCAGTCGCAGCCATGGACAATCCACTGCTTGAATAAAGGCATTTCCCAATTCGCCACCATCTCCCTTGAGCTTACGATGTCACGTTAGAAGTTTAACCCTTCTCAACCTTGAGTTTCTATACAATATTGTCTGTCCAAATAAGACGGTCCTGTGTGTGGAGTGTTCTTCAATGACAGAGATCGTCACTACATGTATCCATCTCGATCAAGAAGCTGTGAGTGTTAATCTCTCATGTGCGTGGTGGTTTCTCCAGTTTTCCCCCACATCCCAAAATGCTCCTTCGTGGAATAGGAATAAAACAAATATCCGTTTACAGGATTGTCCCGCACAAAAAGCTTTCCTGGATAAAGAAGAGACATTAAAATAACTCTCATTACCCACGCAATATATTTGGTCCGACGACAATACTATTCTTTGCTTACACAAAATTGGCCTAATTAACTTTTTTTTGTTTGAGGTTTAAAAATAGTTCCCTTTTGAAATCTGTGGAAACCGAAATTAAAAAGCCGTAAAAATAAACAACTGTTACCAGTTTGTGGCACATTCAGCAATGTCCACCGCGAACTAAATGTTGACATTTGACCAAGTTACGAAGGAAGCTGGCTGCCACTGTTGTGCAACGATTATCGCACTGGACTTGCTGCTGCCCAGGGGTCGTCGGTCAAGCTACGTCGCCCGATGCGGCAGCTGAATCAATGGGGCTGCTTTCTCAAAGCCCATCCCACCCCCACCTCGATGCACCCAGCAGGAAACACGCGTACACCACAGTAGACTGGCAGGTGGCGTGTGGTGGGGTAAAGTTTGGGTACATCCACCTCCTTCCAAGGCGTCTGGCCAGCGTGGAAGAGTAGGCCAAACTACCCTCCAGTAGGGCCTCTCTAGAGCGCCCTCCCTTTCTACCAGCAAAGGCTGCACCTTTGCCTGTTGACATTTTTTTTCTCTCCACGCAGCAAATCAACGCATAAATATGCTAAATTCCTCTTCAAATGCAAATTCTTTTGTCAAGGCTCTCTTCCTCCTCCCTCACAGCTTAAATAGACACTCCAAGCCGAAGACGTGTCATTTAGACTCTGTCTTATCGACAGACATGTTCTTCACCTGAGGACGGCTGTTTGCGTTGTGGCCGAAACGTCGTGAGAATTATTTTATTATGTTTTATTTGTATTATTTTATTACTTCCCTTCTACGTGACTTTACCGAAAGAACCAAGAAGACGCAAGGACATTGTTCGTCGTCACGCGCACTCATTAAATCCAGCGCTGCCTCGTGCACTTTGGCACCCACCCCCCCCCCCCCAAAACGACGTGTCTCCCGGTAGGCCTGAGATCCTCTCTCCAGCAGGTGAGGGAGTGGCCCCCGTGTGAGGGTGGTGTCAAAAGTGACGGCTCCGATGAAGTCAACCCGAGAACAGAGGTCGCAAACGGGTTTTGATTCCTTACCCGTACCCATACCCGGCCGCACCAGGGTCGCAAATGGGTACCCGTACCCGGCCGGGTACCCTACCCGAAATGAGTGACAAATGGTTACTCACCAGTGACTCACGGCCTACCCGTACCCGTACCCGGCCGTACCAGGGTCGCAAACGGCTACCAGGGTATCGGGTAGGGTACGGGTATCGGGTACCCGATTGCGACCTCTGCCCGAGAACGAGCGCAGCGCACCCCCCCCCCCCCCATCTTGGGTGGCGGTAAACAAAAGAAAAAACTTCCAGACTCTCACCCCCCCCCCCCCCCCGCATTCGCGGTTTGCGCGATTAAAATGTGTGATTTTCATTCCAAGCGCTGGCTGCCAGTTTTCACCATTTTTCTTAATTTAACTTTGTTTTGTTTTGGCAGACATAGCTGCCCAAACAAAAGAGTACATGTTACAGGAGGTACTTATTCCACATTATAGTGTCGTGATTTTAACGTCTAATTTTCTACAAGTGTGGCCTCCCGCAGCCATGGAGTCATTATTTCGTAACTAATAATTTTGAACAATGCTCCCTTTTAGGATTCTGTGAAAATGAAAATAAAATGTTTTGTAGAAAGTTTGTCTGTACTCTTGCGTGTTTGGAGGAGACGTTTTACATTGTTGGGGGGCTTCAGATGAACAAATGCCCCCTCCAAATTGCTACGTCTTATACACATGTATCCGTTATATCCATGGTTCAATATCTGGCCTATTGAAGTATATGTTTGGTACTATTGATTTATCTGTACAAATTTGAGGGTTCATCCAACATCATGCAGCTGATGTATTGGGGACATAGTTGATAAACCACGACTTAAGTGGATTCTTTAGTCAATGTGCTGGCTATTCGACGTAACTGGCTATTTGAAAAATAAAAAATTCAATCGGCACATTTGCCAACGTGACAATTCGATTTGTCTGGCCGTGTCGGCTGGTGGAGGATTACAGCTCTAACTGACTTCATACCTACACGATCTAGCCCAACATAAACCAGTTCATGAATCGTAGTTAACGACGTTTAATTTAAGCTGATGATCATCATTAAACAGCTTTCGACAGCCCTTTCCCACTTAAAGCTTTCGTGACTGCAGGGATTCATATTTTTGGGGTCTTTCGGTAAAGTCACGTAGATAGGTTCAAAGAAAATAACACAAAACTACGACGTTTCGATCGCAACACAAACGGTCGTCATCAGGAAAGGGGGTGGGTCCTGATGACGACCGCTTGTGTTGCGATCGAAACGTCGTCGTCTTTTGTTATTTTCTTTGAACCTATCTACGTGACTTTACCGAAAGACCCAAAGAATAGCCCTTTACCAATTCACCGCTGACCTCCCCCCACTCCTTGTGGATCATGGAGGGTTGGTTGACCATACTTCACCGTACTGGTCACTGCGGAGACGTGGGTAGGGTCTCAGCGATTGTTCAGACGTCACTCGCTATTGATGTTTACCATGGCTGGGAATCAAACTCGGGTCGCGTAAACACCGCACCACTGCGCCGTCTATTATATAACGAGCTTGTTTGCCCGTCCTAGGACGGAAGCTGTAATATTTACGAAAAATGTGAGCAAAGTATAATTGCGTCTTGTGTAAATTTAAAGGCGGTGAATCTTGCACGAAAGTATGCCATCAAACACCTCACTTCACTGTAGCACTGTATATAACTGACCTTCAATTTGTTCAAATTCACTGCTCTGATACTTTATTCTCTTCTGCTTTCGGTCGCTGGGGTTGAAATAAATTGGAATGCGATACAATATCTGGCAAGTCACGGAGAAATGTCTATTTTACCATTAATGTAGAAGCATAAATTCGACTTACCTTTTGTCTGAAGTGCTGAAGAAATAAAGACACCAAATCCACTTTGTTGCTGCGTATAATTATTTATTAGATAAACTTTCAATAAAGAAATGTCAAACTTAAAGCGAATTTGCGAAAAATTTTATTTCCGCTCGACCTTCTTCTGAGTGAGTGTAAAAAATCCACCAGCTCATGCATATTAATGAGGGGGGGGGGCATGTGGAGTGACGTCACGCGCGTTACACACAGACATTCTTGGCTCATTCTAGTCGTAATACAGGAGTTTATATGCCTGTTGCAACAAAGTCTATGCTACATCAGACAGGCTAATGGGATGATGCTGCCACGGTGGGGTAATGGTCAGCACACTGCACTCGCGAGCCAGAGGTCACTTGGTTCGTATTCAATTTCTCGGCGCGGCAGTTGCAATCTTGGCGCAAGTTTATGACTTCCCCCCCCCCTCTCTCCCCCCGGCTTTTGTCCACCCAGCGATATGAATGGGTGCTCCCCAGTTAGTCGATCGGTACGTCGTGTGTGGTGGGGTAAAGTGAGGGTAATCTCACCATTTACAAGACGTCTGGCATGCGTGGAAGAGTAGGCCCAAGTGCCTTCCGGAGGAAATCTCTTGAGCTCCCTCGAGCGGGAGCCTGATACCGTCTGATATTTAGTGAATATGACATTCAGTAATATTTAGTGAATATGACATTCAGTGATATTTAGTGAATATGACGTAGCCTCTGATATTTACAAAATTGCTCTCAACGTTGCCAATCCTTTTTTTAATTTTCAAGGCAGTGTTATTGATGAATTTGTGCATTGTTGTTATGTTTGTGCTCCGCTGCCAATCCACGATGACCGCATAATTGGTTATATGTACATCATTTATCAGGGCATTAAGGCTTTGGAATGACATTGCCAACAGTTGCTCGCGCACTCAATCAACGACATGGTGACTACTCATTGTTAAAGAATGCAAATGTCCTGTGCTTGATTTCCGATTTGGTATCAGCGG